CTTCATCAGATGAAGGGTCTAGGCCCGAAACATCAGCCTTTCTGCTCCTATGATGCTGCTTGGCCTGCTGTGTTCGTCCAGCTCTGCACCTTGTTGTCTACAGTAAAGAAAGGGTAGTTTAGCCCACCGTGTCAGTGTTGGCCAAACCTTTTCTATTCTATGCCCGTTTTCTTTGCCCATATTCCGGTTGTTTGCAGCACCTCAATTTGTAAAATATGATGAGGGTTTCTGCTTCTACCAGCCTTTCAGGCGGTGAACTCCAGATTCCCAACTACCTACTGGATGAACTGGCACCCTTCTAAGAACCTTCAGTTCTGACGTAGGGTCACCAGACTTGAAACGTTAATTCTGCTTTCTCCCCACAGATGCTGCCGGACCTGCTGAATTTTGCCAGCAATTTTTGTTTTGTTCCCCTGTAATCTGTGCCTTCAAGTCATTGATTTCAATGCTAAAGGAGATGGGTCCTTCCTATCCACTCTATCTTGAATCCTTAATTTTATACACCTAAATTTACATCACACCTTATCCTCAAATTTGAAAGAAAACAAATCTAGCGTATCCAATCTTGCCTCGTGCTGAAATTCTCCATTCCTGGCAACATACTTGCAAATCTCATCTGTACTTTCTCTGTAGTGCACTCACATCCTTTGTGAAATGAGATGATCTGGACTGATGGGATATAATGTCCGTACTATGATACAAAACACACATTTGCATTGCGTTGCTTAGTTCATTGTGCCACTTGTGAGGAACTGCTGATGACTGCTATCTGCTTTGAAAGGGCCTGATCCTGTGTTTGTTAGTAATTTTGTGACCAAGTTTGCCATCGAACCCATCTGATTTCATAGTGGCCTCTCTGGGGTCAAGGTGGCACTAAGATGGTCGATTTAGTTATGGAAGGTTGGAAACAAATTGAGCCTCTGTGGTAGACCATCTGACATTTGGGTCATATGTCCATGGTGTTGCAGAATACAACTGGTGATTTGAGTAGACAAACATGGCTCATTATTGGAATCCAGGCTTTACTCCTCACTGTCCTCATAACCAAGGAGGTCAGTGGAAAACTGTGGTATTATCTGGTTAAACTAGAACAGGATCCCTCCCCCACCCTCCAACCATGTGCACTTAGAGGACTTACCATTTGCCAAACAGAGCAGGACTGTCTGGATGTAGCTGATCAGAAGAAATAGGAGCAGAAGTAGACCAATAGGCACATCAAGCCTGCTCTCTCATTCAGTAAAGTTATGACCGATTTAGCTTTCTGCACTCTCCCCATGTTCCTTGATTTCTTCAGTATCCAAACTTTATCAATCTCAGTTTTGAATATCCTCAGTGGTTAAGTACTCATAAAGTTTTTGGGATAGAGAATTCCAAAGATTGACAACTCTAAGTGAAGAAATTTTTCCTCATCCCAATCCTAAATGACAGGCCACTCATTCTGAGATTGTGATCCCATTCAAGGCAAACATTGTCCCAGTATCTAACCTATGAAATCTCTCAAGAATTTAAATGCTTCAAAAACCTCTAATTCCTCTGAGCTCAAGAAAATTTAGGCCTAATCTGCTCAGTCTCCACATTGAAAAATTAATTTGTCCCAAAAGTCAATCTTTCTGTAAGACAGTGTGTCCCTTCCTTGGGTAAAAAGACCAACATTACACACTACTCCAAGAGTCACCTCACTGAGGCTCTATCTAAAGTAGTACTTATTTACCCATACTCCAATCCCTTCATAATAAAGGCTAACAAATTATTGCTTGCTGTTTCTGCATGTTCAGTTAGAGTCTGATCCTCCTGAATACCAACATATTCCTCAGTACCTCACAATGTTAAAAAAAAATCTGCTTTTCTGTTTTTCCAATTAAAGAGGATAACTTCACACTTCACCTTGTATTCTATCTGGTATATTCTTGCCACTGACTTATCCAGTTTAATCCTTGCATGTTATGTTACATAATAGGTAGAAAGTGTACCCTCTCAACCAGGTAACCAACTGTACCTCAATAGATTGTTGCTGGTACGTTAGTTGTATTATTAAGGTGAAGGATCAAGAGATGGAGGGCACTAATTGAGTACCTTGAACACATATAGAGAGAGACTTCTGTGATGATGGCTGTTTGTTTGGGTAGAGGAAGACATCTGTAATGTTGCATTTTGTAAATACACGAGGACCTTGATTTACAAGCATTTGACTTATGAATGCTCGTATTTATGAATGTGATCCCATACGGGGATGTATTAACATTAATGTTAAAGGTCTAACATTTGAACATTTCCTTGGATTTATGAACAGCTATGTCCTGCGTTGTGCTCTGACTTATGTACAAACCTGTTCGCAACCTGGCAACTAACTTGTTAATCCAGTTTTAAGTAAAAGATAGGTTTATGGTTTCCTGCTTCAGAGACAATTAGTGTAGATTTCTTGGTAGCCTGGTTTGAAATATCATGATGTTTCCATAGGTGTCAGACAATAGCTGATAGACATTTTTATCTGTCAGGGAGCGTATGATCATAAAGGAAATTTTTGTAGTGACCTGCTGTTGCTGTTTGGAATTTTTCTTTTATTCAGGGTATACTGATCAGGTTACTGTACAAAGACCTGAACTCCCGTTCCAGACACCTGAGCTAAAAGGATTGCCCTCGAGATGGAGTATGTTAGGCTTATATTCCCTGGAGTTTAGAAGAATGAGAAACTGGTTTGATTGAAACATCTAAAATTCTTGATGGTAAAACTCAATGGATCATTTTCTGCCGTTTCCACTACCATCGGTATGATGCCACGACCAAAATCTATCCTCCCCTTTCAGCACTCCAAGGGTACTACTCCTTCTCTGATTCCCTGACCCATTGGAATAAAAGGGAAGCCTCCTCAATAATGATCATGAAACTGCTATTTTGTCATAAAATCCCACCTGGTTCATTAACCTCTTTTAGGAAAGGAAATCTGCCTAACCCTAACGCTCTCATAGATTTCCATATACCTGTAATGGTGTTGACCTGTCACAGGAAATCTGCCACGCTTACCTGGTTTGGCCTGCATGTGACTCCAGACCTACAGCAATGTCGTTGACTCTTGCTTGCCTCTGAAATAGCCAAGGAAGTCACCCAGAGGGAAGGTAGAGATGGGTTAAAAAAAAAACTGCTGGCCTTTTTGGTGATGCTCACATCCCAACAACAAATTTTTTACAAATTTGAACAAATTCCATCTGTGAGATTTGAAAAATTTAGCGGTAGACCAAAGACACAAATGTAAGTGTCAGAGCAATGTGGAGAAGTCAAATTACTGGCCGTGGGAAAGTTGGAGTCACACTTGCTGACTGAACGGGCCATATTATTAAGCTAGAGAAGGTTCAGAAGAGATTTGCCAGGATTTTGCTGGGTATGGAATGTTTAAGTTATAAAGAAAAGCTGGATGGGCTGGGACTTTTTTCACTGGAATGTGGGAGTTTGAGAGATGCCCTTATGGAAGTTTATAAGATCATGGTAAGATGAATGGATGTATAGATAAGATAAATCGCAGGTGTCTTTTCCGTAGGCTGGTGCATTTTAAGACTGGGGGCCTATTTTTAAGGTGACTGGGAGAGATTTTAAAAAAAAGAGAAGGGGCAAATTTTTTTACACAGAGGGTGGTTCACATGTGGAATGAACTTCCAGAGGCAGTGGTGGATGCGGGAACAGTTATAGCGTTTAAGACACATGGATAAGTACAAGAATAGGAGGACCAGGAGCAGGCAGGTGGGACTAGTTTAGTTTGGGGTTATGTTCGACATGGACTGGTTGGACTAAAGGGTCTGCCTCTATGACTCTACAACTCTATGGTCTCCCAGCGTGCCTTTGGTCTCCCCATTGTAGAAGAGACCACATTGTGACCTCGCTAATTTAACTTCCTTCCAACATAAGCACTTCTATAGTTCTAAGTGTTTGGGCTTTGTGCTTCTCTGGGGTTTGGTTGGAAAATTAAAACAAACTGCACGGAAAATCTCTAAGCGATGTTTGTTTTTTTTCTCTCCCTCCCCACATCCCCCATTTCCGGTCACAGACAGCGAGTTAAGGATATGTTTTATCATGCCTACAACAATTACCTGGAGAACGCTTTTCCTTATGATGAACTGCGACCCTTGACCTGTGATGGTCAGGATACATGGGGCAGGTAAGTTTTAATTGACCTCCAGCTGCATTCATTATCTAGCGAATAAAGGATTTTTCAAAATAATAAATTTATACTAAATGTTTTGAAGTGGATGAAAGAACCCAATCCCAACTCAAGCTATTCAAAATCAGCAATCACTAAGCTTTGGGTTAATTTACTTATATCTTTGTGTGAATATGCAAGCATATTCAGGAGAAAACAACAACTGTGTACTGAATACTTTTTGACAAGTTAAGGCATTTTGATGAGATATCTCAATTGAGGAAATGCATAGCAATTAGTTTGGGAAGTCCCAAGCTTAATCTCTGTTTTGATAAAGTATAATGTGGGTAAATGTGAGGTTATCCACTTTGGAAGCAAAATCAGGAAGGCAGATCATTATCAGAATGGCAATAGATTGGGAAAGGGGGAAGTACAACAAGACCTGAGTGTGTTGTACACCATTCTCTGAAAATAAGCATGCAAATGAAGAAGAAAATCTATGTTGGCCTTCGTGGCAATAGGATTTGATTACAGGAGCAGGGATAATCTTGCTGCAAATTTACAGGGGCCTTGGTGAGACCACACCCTGGAATATTGTATGTGGTTTTGGTCTCCTTATCAGAGGAGGTATGTTCTGGCTATGGAGCGGGTGCAATGAACTGATTCCTGGGATGCTAGGACAGACATATGAAGAGAGGCTGGATCAGTTAGGACTTTAATCACTGGAGTTTAGAAAAAGAGAGGTGGGAGAGTGGTGTGGAGGGCGATTTATTTCATAGAAATCTATAAAGTTCTAAGCAAACTAGGCAGCAATGATCATATTGATAGCAGAGCAGACTTGATGGGCTGAATGGCTTACTCCTCCTATTTTCTATGTTTCTATAGTTGAGTTTAGCAAAGGTGCTGCAGTTAACATTTGGAGTAAGCGAAGGGGTGTCCCATTTCTAATTGATCCAGATTTTGCATATGACTATACCTAAAGGCAGTGTGTCCACAGATATCACTTGAGATGCCTTTGCTTTGTACAGATGCAAAACAATCATTAAATGCTAGCTCCATCTGAGCTGGAGCTGAAAACTTATGCATGTAGCAGCTAAACTCCGTGCCGTTACGCAGTGTTACTTACAGCAAATTGACTTTGTGCCTCTGAACGGTTAAGGTTTCTGAAAATAAAGTAGATGCATATTTCTTCACCCGTCATTGGGCCGGTGTATCTGTACTGTAGCTACACATGCCAAAATTATTAAGACGTTAGCAAAGGCTGATACGGTCCAATGTTGATTCACATTTATGGGAGCAGGAATTAGTGGAGTGGGGCCCACAGTAAATCCATGAGAACTGGAATTTCTAAGGTACAGGATTTAGAAGGGGACTGTTAGGTGCCTTCTTCGGAAATTTTACTTTTAGCATCTTCTTTTGCTTTTTCATGTCATGGGTATTGTAGTTTTTAAATTAATGTGGGTGCGTCTATATGATTTAATTTAAAGCTGCTGCCTGTTTGCTACTTGAAAATATTATTTTTCTTTCTTTCTTAAATTTGCCCTCGGTATTTGAGCAACCAGGTTTTTGGGGCTTCCGAAACAGCACTTAAGAGTATTGGGGGAACAGGGAATTTATAAAGCTACTTGGAGCAGTTCGAGAATCATAGAATATTTACAGGACAGAAGGTGTCCATTCAGTCCTTCATGTGTGTACTGGATTTCTGTCAGGACTACTCAACCAAGTCCACTCCCTTGCCTTTCCCCATAACCCTGAAAAGCTTTAAAGTAATTGGCAAAAGAAGCAATAGCAATAGGAGAAACGTTGTCCCTGACAGTGAGTGAAGAATTTCTCATTCGGAGGGGCAGCACTGAAAAGATGGAATGAATGTCTTCATTCTGCTCTGTATCCATTTTGTGCTTCTTTATTCAACAGCGGCAACAACATCAGGTTTGTGCCACAGCAGCATTGTGGAAGTGTCATCCTCACAGGGACTGGAGTGGTTCAAGAAGGCATCTCACCACTGCCTTCTCAGCAGCAACTGATGATGGGCAATGGGTTCTGGCCCTGCCAGTAACGCTTGAGGGTTAATAGAAACGCATTAGGGTGGGTAGGCATCATGTTTTAATTTGCAAACAGGAACCAGTCCCCAAACCTACAGAATGGTATGTATCCTGTAGTACTTGCCTACTCAGCCTACAAAGGCTTTAATTCAGTTTCTCTCCCAGTTGGCTTTGCTGACCTCAAGTGGAGGTTGTAAGGCCAGAAGTGAGGAATGACCAGTTACTGAAAGGCTGAAGAGAACTACAGCATCAGAATTCTGTGGAGTTTGCACATTCTCCCCATGTCTGTGTGGGTTTCCTCCGGGTGCTCCAGTTTCCTCCCACACTCCAAAGATGTGCAGGCTAGGTGGATTGGCCATGCTAAATTGCCCATAGTGTTCAGGGATGTGTAGATTAGGTGGGTTATAGGGGTGTGGGTCTGGGTGGGATACTCCAAGGGTCGGTGTGGACTTGGGCTGAAGGGCCTATTTCCACACTGTAGGGATTCTATGATGATCTATGAATTCATCCTGGTCAGATACCCTTTGGGAGAGAAAGTGAATAAAAATTCTCTGGAGGTTAAGCGCACACAATTTATTTTATAGCCACTAATCCCAGCAGGTTAGCAGTCAATTTGGTGGGTCAAACATCCATTACTGTGCGAAAAGGTAATTTTATTTTCTGCATTTGCAGCTTTTCCCTGACATTGATCGATGCATTGGACACTCTGTTGGTAAGTGTACATTCGTGCTTCAGTTGATTGGATTGTCTGGACCCGACGTGTTCAGTCCAAGCCAGTTTTTCTCCAACCCTCCTTTTTCAGACAATCTTTCTCCCCGCCATTGGTTTTGTTGCCAGTTAAAGAATGCAAGAGCAGGAGGGCACCATTGGGCCATACATTGATGACATCGTCAGTGCTACTTCCCTCTCTCGTCCCAAATTGGAAAAGTTCGCTTACAGTTTCCATCCTTCCCTCACCTTCACCTGGTCCATCTTTGATTCCTCCCTTCCCTTCCTCGACATCTCTGTTTCCATTTCCGGGGATAGGCTGGCCACCAATATCTATTACAAACCCACTGACTCGCACACTTCCCTGGACTATACATTCCTCATTCCCTGCTTCCTGTAAAGACTGCATTCCATTCTCCCAGTTTCTCCGTCTCTGTCCCGTCTGTTCCGATGATGCCAGTTTCTACATTTTGGAGCCTCCAAAATGTCTGCTTTCTTCCTGACCAAGGATTCCCCACCCCTGTGGTTGACAGGAGCCTCAGCTATGTCTGACCCAACTCCTACACTTGGCCCTCACCCCTTCCTTTCCCATGCACAATAATAGGTATCCCATGTCCTCATTTACCATCCCACCAGCATCCAGATCCAGAGGATCATTAGCCACCATTTCTGCCACCTCCAGCGAGATGCCACCACCAGACACACATTCCCCTCCCCTCCCTTGTCTGCCTTCTGCAGGGACTGTCCCCTCTGGGACACCCTGGTCCACTCCTGCTCCATTCCCAACAGCACCCCACAGCCCCATGGCACCTTCTCATGCAATCACAGAAGGTGTAACTCCTGCCTGTTTTACCTCCTCCCTCCTCACTAACCAAGGACCCTTCCAGGTGAAGCAGCAATTTAGGTGCATTTCACTCACTCTAGTTTACTGCATTCGCTGCTCACAATGTGGTCTCCTCTACACTGGGGAGATGAAACGTAGACTGGGTAACTGCTTTGTAGAATGTGTATTGTCCACAAAAAAGACCCTGACCTACCAGTTGCCTGCCACTTCAATACACCACATGTTCCCTGGCCAACATCTCTGTCTCAGGCTTGCTGCAGTGCTACATCGAAGCTCAGTGTAAACTGGAAGAACAACGTCTCATTTTCCGCTTGGGGACCTACAGCCACCTGGTTCACTAATGTCCTTTAGGGAAAGAAACTGCCATCCTTATCTGGTCTGGTCTACATGTGACTTCAGACCCACAGCAATGTGGTTGACTCTCAACTGCCCTCGGGGCAATTAGGGATGGGCAATAAATGCTGCCTACCCAGAGACGCCCTCATCCTGTTAATGATAAAGAAAAAAAGATAATTAAGGATGGGCAACAAATGTTGCTTTGCCGTTAACACTCTCATCCCATGGGGCATTTAAAAAGGGGGAAGAGTGTTATTGATTGGAATTGAAGCTTGTGCTTTGTTGTGAAATGGATACTAATCTGATGCAGTCTAAGCCAGGGAAACTCATTACTACTGCTATTTTTCTTTCCAATGATTGAGGTCTACAGTGGTTCTAGAAAGGAGTGGGAGACCCATTCCCTTGGGCCTTTAAAAGTCGAGACATACATTTTTTAAAAATGAGTTCATCCCCTAATGAGCAAGTGATGCATTCTTTTTCAAGAATGAGATTGAGGAATATTGTCTACAGAAAATAATCAAATTTAACATTTCTTTTAATGGCATAAACATGTACTTTTAAAAAAACTCTGAAGAAATGTAATAAAAGGACAGGAGTGTGTGTAGGATGGAGTTAGCTTCCTATCCCTTCACTTTAAGAACATCAAATCCAAATCCAGCCAAACCTTAATGATCCCAAGTTAAATGAGCTCAATTTCTTGAGACCTCCTGTTCATATACAGAAATAGCGTCTAGCCCAATGAGCACACCTGGGCCTGCGATCAGTGGTTGAATGAGATCAGAATGTCTCTGAAGAATTAACAGTTTTCCCCTTAGGGGTCCAAGCAGGAACACAGCTGAATTGCATGAGGCAAAAGTTGTGGTTACAATCTGTTTCTTGCTCTCACTGTTTTGCTGGGGGAAACGTGCTTTGGAATCTTCTGTTCAAGATTAGTTTCCATGTGGAAATCTGATCTACTGGTTGTGGGTGTGGGGTTAGGCAAGTAGACATGGTATCTTTAACTAACAAGCAATAAGAGGAATGATTCACTTGTGAGGGATTACATGACAAACTGCCCCTTTTATCCATGATCTGCAAACCAGACCGAGACGATGGGCCAAATACTGCCTCTTTTTAATGTCTGGAAGGATCCTGCATGAACTAAACCTTGTGGGAGTCCTAATTCAGCTTCAGTCAGGTATTGAGAATGAAAATGGATGGGGGAATGGTCCTCCTCCATGACCAACACCAACCTGTCCTCCATCGCCTCACTCTCGAAGTGGTTTGTGTGTTGTACAGCTCCACAATAGTTGTCACTTTTCCGTACGTACCCCAAGTGGCCATTGCTAATGACTTCCCCACAGGTTTGCTGTCGTGGTTGTGGTGATGGGGGAGGGAGGAGGTGCTGAATGAACAGGTTCTCTCACACTGTCCCAATCTCTCCTGCATTCAGGTGCTGGGTAACGTTACCGAATTTCAGAGGGTTTTTCATGTTCTTCAGGATGGAATGGACTTCAACATAGACGTTAACGCTTCTGTATTTGAGACCAATATTCGAGGTTAGTCTGCATCGCACTCTTTAAGATAATAACATGTGACCCCTCCCCAAAAATACTGTACACCTGATTAAACATCTGTGCCTGAAGTAACTGACGTGGTATGAGGAATATGACAGTCTGTGATGCTGCCACAGTAAAAGCAGAAGGCAAGTGGTGCACAACAAGCTCCCAAAAATGGCAAAGAGATTGCAACGAGATCCTCTGTTTTTCTTCATGGTGTTGGCCAGGACATCAGGGATACCTTCCTGGCTCATTTTCAAATAATGTTGTATTTTATAAAAACCAAAAGAACTGCGGATGCTGTAAATCAGGAACAGAAACAAAGTTGCTGGAAAAACTCAGCAGGTCTGGCAGCATCTGTGAAGGAGAAAACAGAGTTAACGTTTCGGGTCCGTTGATCCTTCCTCAGAACTGATGGTGGCTGGGAAAACGTCAGTTTATATGCAGAAAATAGGGAGGGGGATGGGGTAGGGAGTAAACGATAGGATAGAGCCCAAAGAGAGAGAAGAGCAGTTGGATAGACAAAGAGTTGATAATGATCAGGCTGGGAGGGTGAATAGTTGTTAATGGGGACTATGTTTTTCTGCAAATAAACTGACGTTTTCCCACCCACCATCAGTTCTGAGGAAGGGTCACTGGATCCGAAATGTTAACTCTTGATTTTTTCTTCACAGATGCTGCCAGACCTGCTGAGCTTTTCCAGCAACTTTGTTTTTGCTCCACACAGTCCAGTCTACTGTATTCACTGTCCCCACTGTGGTCTCCTGTACAGTGGGGAGATGAAACGTAGACTGGGTAACCAATTTGTGGAACACCTACGTTCTGTTTGTAAAATATCCTTGTTGCCTGCCACTTTGACACACCACCCTGTTCCCTGGCTGACATCTCTGTCTCAGGTTTGCTGCAGCCTGCGGGACTCAGTATTAAGTTCAATAATTTTAGGGCCTGAGCACTTTCTCACTTGTCCTTACCCCAACCTCGCACCAAAGGCCCTCTCAAATTATGGGCTGTTTTCAGCACGGGCAACCCATTTTCACTTAACGCTGGTCCCCAATGTCAACTTTTCTTTCCCTCTTTCTCCCGAATAAGTTCCAAAGAAGGGTCAAGAGACTCAAAATATTATCTGCTTTCTGTTTGCCGACCTGCTGATTTTCGCCAGAAATTTTTATTTGTTGTTGTTGCTTCGATTTAAGATCCCCTCAAAAGGAATTGTTGCCTTTGATGGTGTAGCTCTCCCTCAGTGCAGTGCTGCGACACAGGACTTGATCTTACAGCCTTCTAATTCAGAAACCAACCTAGACCTTCCTAGTCTGATGTAGCTCCTCAATAGTAAAGCCTGCGAACTAGATTACTGCCCCATCTGTCGTGATGTCCAAGTCTGGTGTATCTTACAAACAATGGCTTACATTGCCTGTTTCTTTTTCATTACTTCAGCAGTAGGAAAGGAGTCACCATATGACAGGATTGTTTCCTTCTGTGAGTATTGGCAGCTGCACCATCTTTACAGCTATTGTCTGAGTCGTTTATTTAAAATTTCTGCAGACATTCACGGTTAGCACTGCTGCCTCACAGCGCCAGGGGCCTGCGTTCGATTCCAGCGTTGGGCGACTGTGTGGAGTTTGCACATTTTCCCAATGTCTGCGTGGGTTTCGTCTGGATGCTGTGGTTTTGTGCCGCAGTCTAAGATGTACAGGTTAGGTGTTCGGCCATGGTGAATTACCCATAGTGTCCAGGAATGTGCAGGTTAGGTGTTCGGCCATG